AATATATATTATATATTATATAATATATAATGTAATAAATTTTATTTTTTAATAAAAATATTTACTGTTAACAAAAAATGTTTTTTAGATCGTGCTTTTTATTGTCGAATATTTATTGTCTTTTTCTCAGTAAGGACATTTCGATAATACAAATAACGCTTGGAATATAATTGCATGGATTATTAAGAGCACAGATTATCCTTTTCTCATATCATATATTACTTTCATTTCATCATCCTTTATTTATTACCACATATGTAGTCCTCGTGTCTCTTCATTGCGTTAGGAATGACTTGAAAGACCCTATATACCTTCTATTCACAATTGAATGCAAAATATAAAAAAATTTTGTGTATTAAATTTTTAAAGAAATGAAATTTTATTTTAAATTAATTTTAAAAATAAAAATATAATATTTATGGTATAGAGGACATATATATGAATTTTACGTATTGTATACATTCAAAAACTTTGTTTATATATTTCTTATACTCATATTTTTGAGTACAGTAATTTCTCTAAGTGCAAGAACACTTCACATCTACTTATGGAATACCTTCAACTCTGCTAAATCTACGGGGTAACATTTATCTTCATGGCCATGTGAAATAGTTGCGACTATTGCCACTATTTTCCAATTTATTACGAGCAACGAAACAAAAGTTTATTGTTCAGATTCATTTCACTTTGGTTTGTGTTTAGCTTTGATTTGCTACCAGCACATACCAGCTCCAGGCACTTGGGGAATATGCGGCATGACGTGCTCCAAATGCGATACAACTGAATCTAGCGCATTATAAGTGGCAGGCGTGCAAATATATGCTGCATTAGAGGTACAAGTGCCCGGAGCAGCTCGAAGAAGACAAGTGTGCAGCGTAAATAAGTTAAATTGATTTAAACGCACAGATGGCACCAGGTGCGCGGATCTGCTGAATGGTGAAATTGTTAGCGGGAAATCCTTCCATATAAGCATAAATTGATTTATGTAACAATATGAAGCTAATATTTTCAAAAAAATATGAGGAAACTACATACACTTAGGGATTTGAATGATTATTATTTTTATTAAGAATTTTTTTTTCTCCATTTACTTATTTTTATTCCATCACATTTTATTGCTAACTTTTAATTGTAACTGAAAATTTCTTACAAAATTTATTAGCACATTTGGCAGAAAATATTGCTGACCGCGTAACGAACAGAGCACGAGTATGTATCAATGAGTGAAGTCATCACAAGGCTTGCATTGCTTTTATGGTACAATCTTCTTTATGCATTTCTATTGCAGCAACAATTTGATTGCCATATTTACACAGGTGAATGAGTATGCACTTCTGCCCAGAATTGGTAACAATTTAATGCCTTCCAACCGTAAAAACAGCAAAATTATGACCGAAATGAGAATTTAATCGAAGTACGTGAGCAGCAAAATGAAAATTTGCAACTACAGCTAGGGAAATGATAGCTACGTTATCTCCGTTCCATATCACTTCCATGCCCGTCAGCCAGCCAGTCGGGTAGTCGTACGAGTATTACTACGCCAGTCGCACACTTAAAATACGCGTTCGAGTGGTGCCTCATTGTCAGTGCTGCAAGTGCATTTTGTGGCTGCACATAAAAAAGCACATTCATGAATCTTTAAATACGCGCTCATTCGTCCACGCTGCACCACACCTCGCAAAAAACCTTGCCCTGCGAAAAGACGCTGTTCCTTTTTGTACGCCGTTAACCCCAGGGAACGTGAGAGAGGTGGAACAGTTGTTATAGGCGATTATGCTTGTACTACCCATGCAATTGAAGTGGAGTTGGAAAACAAAAACGTTAAACTCAGCAACGGCTTGAGTTGCTCATTTCGTTTGGCATGTTATGGAGCAGTCAACGTTTCACTACTTTTTTATGGTTTCATGTCTTTCATTGCCATTTGCCATCAAATTCCGTCGTTGAATCTTAAGTTTCGCTGCAAAGCAGAAAGGAAAATATATTTCAGTCAAGATTAACTCCGTAGACAATTCTCAAATGAGTCACAAATAAAATTGTTTATTTATTTGACATTTATTTTTATTATTTTTTCCTATTAAAATAAAAAAACTTTTTATAATTTTATTTTTTTTTTAATTGTTACTTGGATTAGGCCATCAAGTTGGAAATTGTAAGTGTATGTGAGCAAATTTCCTAAATTAGTTGTGGATTGTACAAGTGCAGGACTCTTATAATCAAAATTTTCGAATTAATATATTATATATATTATTGTAATATATTATAATCAAATGATATATATTTATACTTACCTATAATATGTTTTTCTCAAAACTTCTAATAGACTGCTATGATACGCTGCAGTAGCTGGCGAGCAAAAACAAAGTGATGCTGTGCTGAGTGTTTGGGCACACAGAAATCAATGTTAATGACTCTGGTGACAGTTTTGCGAGGTCAGTTTTGCGAAGCCATTCAAATCTGTGGACCGGAGCCATATTGTGGATTAAGTTGGTCTATAACTAGGTCTCTGATTAATAAATGGTTTTTAGCCAAGCGAAGTCGCTACTGGCGCGCCTTTCCAGGTGACCGTCAGGCTAAAGAGATGGTTCATCCCTCTAGTTATGCTAAAGTATCCTTCTTTAGCACAACAGAGTTGAGGTTGCTGGTGGGATATTTAACGAGTCACCATGGAAACAGACGAGACTTCCAGTCACATTATCTGTGACTGCCCAGCCTTGATCTAGGCCAGGAAGAGGTAACTTGATCGAGAACTACTCTCCCCTTGTGACATTAGGAGGTTCTCAGCGGTCGACATTCTAGCTTTCATTTGGAAAGCGGAGTATCTTTTATTTGGTTAGAGTCTGTTGCAGCACAAAAGATCAATCATGGTCGCAATGCGCTAAACGGAACTAGTACCCCGTTTATTCCTATTCCTACATGTAATATACGTAAATAATATTAATGTTATTATTATTATTGTTAAATAGCCATTACAGACTTAATTCGCCTTGGCCACGTCCAGTATCCTTCTTAAGCCAGCCCGATCAGTTAGACCAATAATCAAAAGTTTGGGATTAAAAAAATATATTATAATGTAATAACAGCTTTGATATGCTTAGTGCGTTATTTCTATATGCTTAGCCTAAAATGTATAAATGTATCTTATATCATTTTACTCTTCTATTATATGTAAATAAGTTCGTCATTAAGCAGATTCAATGAAATTCACAAACTGAACTATATATTTTTCAAAGTATTTTTCTCTTATATAAGAAACACTGGTTTGATTAATATGCTGTGTGAATCAGAGACATACATGTGGATTTTTACATAATAACGCTACATAATTATATAAGTTGCAGTTGTAGAAAGCACGACGAGAGTGCCTCATTATCTACCTAGTTCTTATTTGGTACATGTGCGGCGCAGCTTTACTTCTCAAGGGGCCTTTTGAAGATTTTATTCAACTGTAAGACCTCCCATTAAACAGCATATTAAGCTTTTCTAAAGTTTCAAAGTGATTTTAAACCTCTGCGTTTTTCTTTTATACGGTAATACGATGGACCAATATGCCTTAGTAGATCGCTTTGGATTGTCGGTACAAATATGTACTAAACATGTTGTTTTTTTGCCATAAGGCCAATGTTGATTATCTGTACCGACATCACTAAAATAGTTTTATTCCAAACCTTTTTTATACAGCATATAATATTGTTAGATTCTTCATATAATAGGTTTTTATTAAACGGTATTTTATTATTCCATTGTTTAACGTTACGACTCTTCCAACAAATTAATATTTCCAAAACTTTTTTATGTAAAATCAATTCGTTATGGTTGTATTATCTAATTGAAACTCTTCATTAAGACGAGCCTACAATACTTTGAAATATAAAGATATTTCAAAAACATTGCATTGTGTATGGCTAACTCTTTCACAAGCAGAACAGTATTCAACCCCATTATGTCCTTTTTGGGTGAAATTTTTTCTATGAGCTCCCCGTGACTCAGGAAAAATTATTTCAATTTTGATCAAATTTGAGGTGATGTGACCAGAAACCATTTCTTCAAATTTTCTTATTATGTTACTTTCAGACTAGTTTGCATCTTAAAACTTTATAATAAGATTCGTATTTGAATCATAATGTCTCTAAACATTATGGGATTTTTTAGAATTTTATGCGTGTACTTATTTGTAGTACATCAACTGATAATAAAAAAAATTCACCTGAGAAAATGTACTCAGTAAACGTTTATGAGCCATCACAGTGTTGACTCGCTTAACAGCAACTAACTTTTCTCACTTGTTTAAAGCAAATAAGCCATGAGCAAAGCTAACAGGGTGAGGCTTAGTGTTAGCATAACAGAAACAGTTGTGTAAACAAAATAAAATCAAAAGCCAAAGCAAGATATATCCAAACATAATAAACCAAGACAGCGTATGGCCAATATGTGTGACGTCACAAATAGCCTTACTACACAATAAAGCAGCAGTTTAACAAGTGACGCACACGTTGACCACACTTTACGCGCACAATGCAGCCATTGTTGTCGCTGCAACAAATTTACCACAAACACTCGAGTGTGCAGTACGCAGTGCGGATGATTGAAACGTGCTCAAGACGTTGACGATTGACGGTTGCAATTGGACGTGCGATCGTTGGCTGTAAGTGTGGTGGTCTGGGATTTACCAAGAGACAACATCGAAGTTTCCAGAGAGCATAGCCTCATTTCAAGTGAGCATAAAGCAAACACCGCAAACTATCCATCGTTGGATCATTGAATCGTTAACAACCGCACGTCACGTCACATATGCTGTTGAAAACCGAAAGAGGAAAAAAAACAAACAAACGAATTCGCAATGTTGAGTCTCATATAAAATCGTACGTGGAGGCCGAATGGCATCAGTTTGTGAATAAACAGCAAAAGTGTAACAACAAAAGTTGGACTAACGGAGTTAAAAGTGCATAATTACAATTACAAAAATTGTTTCAAAAACATTCAAAAAACCATAATAGAAAACAATATCGAAATGCAATCGAACTGTGTGAAGAATTCAGTGTGTGCCCTCGTCGTGATGGTCGCATTAATTAGCTGCTTTATGCACACCATCGATGCAAGGCCAATGGATCTGTACGATGATGTTAGTGACTTCTTCGATGCAATTTCATTGGATGATGTACCCACATCTGGTCGTTCTGCTCCTGAAAGTTTTTGTCGTATGCCCGCAAGAAAAGGTGTCTGCCGTGCCCTCATACCGCGTTGGAGTTACGATCCCGTGAAGAAAGAATGTATTGAATTCAAATTCGGTGGCTGTGACGGCAATGAAAATAATTTCTCCAGCTATAAACTTTGCATGGATACGTGCCAGGGCATGTAAATCTCTACGTGAAGTACTTCTAGCTTCTAATTAATATTGCCAAAGGAGGGCTTTCATTAGCAATCAACTGCCTATGTTTTCATCGAATTCATTCAAATCAACATATTTTACAACAACGCATACAACATATTTTTCAATTTTCAAGCTTTAATTTTAACTACAATTTTATTTGTGATATAAAAAAATTTATTTCTAACTTTAAATTGTTCATTTGAATATGTTTGGAGAAAGTTTATGTTTGCTGACGTCATTGGAACTTGAGATTGAATTACAATCTTTGTGAGTTCAGCCGCTAAGACGAATAGAAGTGCAAACAATTGCTTTGATTGATAAGCAGTTTACAGACTTTTACATTTATGCATATTCAAGTGTACTATTATTATATACTATGTATTTATTTATTTTATATGTAATTAAAATTATTAAATAAAACATTTTAATAAAAAATATAAAAAATTTTTATTCTTAACTTATAGCCAAGTTTTATAAAAAATGATTTGAGCTTCCGTTTGTCACTAGGTAACCTACATACATACAAACGTGTTTTAGAAAGAATCTGGAACGATATATTTGTGATCTGATTTATTGTCGTTGTTTGAGCTTTTGGCAGTGAATTTCTTATACGGTTATGATATTTAAATTCTGATTAGACCTAATTATTCATCGAGGTTCCTGAAAAGTGCCTACTGTGGTGATATATTTTACATCCTAGTGGAACCCAAAGTTGGTTTCAAATTCTGTTTGCGACTGCTTTTATTAAGAAAATATATTTCAAAACAAAACTTGAATAAAATTTTTGAAACCTAATTAATCGTCGAGATTCCTAAAGTAGGTATAAAAGTGCCAAGGCTGTTGCCGATGAATTTTTTGTCAAGCACTGATGAATATTAGATCCTAGTAGAAACTAAAGATGATTTCAAATTATGTTTACTACTGCTTTTAATAAAAACATAGATTTTAAAAGGAAACTTGGACGAGATTTTTGAAACCTAACTAAGCTTTGAGATTCCTAAAGTAGATTTAAAAGTGCCTGGGCTGTTACCAGTGAATTTCTTGTCATGCAGTGATAATTGTTAGATCCTAGTAGAAACTAGGAGTGTTTCGAATTCTCTACTTGTGAATGCTTACTCTAAAAAGTAACATTTTAAAACGAAACCTGAACGATTATTAATCGTCAAGGTTCCTAAAATATATATAAAAGTACCGGAGCGTTTACCGGTATATTTTTTCTTTTAGGGTGATGATTTTTAAAAACTCGACGAATCTTTAAGTAATCAAATTTTCATAACAAAGTGAAACAATGCCTACGCTTTTACTGGTAAATCTTTTGTTATACGATATTTCAGATTATAGTAAAATGAATTCAATCATAAAGGTTTTTGCTATAGATGCAAAAGTGGGTTAGGCTTTGACAACACATAAAGACTGACCATAAAGACTCTTTATGCAATTTTTATTATACCTGCGAATTTCTTTTTGTGCAATATTAACTTTAAAATCCACCTTTTCTTTTTATACACAGAATTTGTGTCAATGCTTAGATCCATTGAATTCTTTATGTATTTGATTTTGATGTCGTACTTCATAGTTCTATGCCATATGTCAATATTGATTTAAGTAGAGTTCTTCAATAGATAGTTTGTTTTGTGACGATAACTAGACATTGAGCTCATATAACTGAGTTGATTAATATGATAATAATAGTAAATTACAACTGTTTTCTTTTTTATCTAAACATATGTTTACGCTAAATAAATATATATTTTTTTGTGTAAGTGTATTCGTAGGTACTTGCTACCACCTTAAAATAGTTGTCCGGTGTTGAAAAACATGGGAGAGCTCTTATGTGAAAAGTTTATGTGACTCGAGTTGATTTGAATGAGTCCGAATATTTTTAATAATTGGGTAATTGGATTGGGTACCACTACTGAACATGAGCTTATAGATATTCTAATCGTAACATAAGGTAATGTTGTAATAGATGTATCCACAGAGGTGAGCAAATCAATTGTATAAATATTTCAAAAAAGTTAGTTCAAGTTGGATCTCTGGAATGATGTTAATACAAGTTTCATACTCTTTTGTTTACTTTAACTACAAAGAAGTGGACATTTATAGACCACTTTAAGATGAAATAATATGAATAAAGTAGCATTTTTTAAGGTCATATGTATACCTATCCATAATATCTCAAAATAGTGCACAATCAAATATTCCTAATTTTTCATTGCAATACATACGGTTCTATAAGTTCTATGGATTTTTTAATAGTTCTAAAGTAAAGAAAATGTGATAATAATCCATGGTTACGCGCCCTCAATATATATGAATATATTATAATATTATTTCCTTGAAACAAAACAAAAGGTCATTAAAACAAATCAATCGTCTGTCAATTCACATGCCTAGAAACTCGTTATAGATCTATAACAAAAGGTTAATAAATTCAATTAAATACCCTTCATTTAGCTAAGACAACCATTTTGATTCACAATCCCCGTAATTGTGGGCAGAAAATTTGTCATATTAAAACCAGTCGAACTCATTGATATATGCAAGTATCAATGTTGGATATATTGTTGACTGAATTAAAGAATATAGCATTCAGAACCTTAAATCTGGTTTTGTATAAGCCTGCACTTAGACACAATATGTATACCGTTGTCTCCTCCTCAAGCACCTTTAGACAAACACTACAAGTAAAAGCTGGCAGCATGTTGTCCTATAGCCCTATAGCCCAATGCCCTGTTACTATCAATATTGGCTTTTTAGGCCACCTTTCTGTTATGAAATATTGTGATATATTACTTCTTCCACACTTTTAGAGAGGATTACCTGTCACATGTTTATATAAAACCCAATAAATTTGCCTAAGCGGGCTTGGTTCTATAACATCATGACTTCCCACCTAAAATTATTGTTGATAAGCTATCGATACATAGGCTAACATAGCTTAGGGAGATGCCATATTTAAAGAATTTTTATTTATTATTATGAGGGTTAATTTGGACTTAAATACTAACGATTTACTTTTATACACTAAGATAGAGGTTCTACATTTGGAGTATAAAGACCACCTGACCACCGTTGTTCGCTTGGCTACTGAAGAAAGAGTGACCCAATTTTTATTAGCCCTTCATATATGTACATATATATATGATATGTAGTTTATCATGTGTATGTCATATGATATGTTGTTTATGACACATATATGTAATTTTTTCAGTATGTTCTACTAATATACATAAGTAACATTTATATATTGACACTCTATTGAATTGTTAATAGTTCATAGAACTTGATGTTATTGAAATGTAACATAGAATATCAGAAATAAGTGAAATGAAATCAATTTTAACTAATTATTTATTCATTTATAAAACATGCAATAAATGCATGCACAAATGAAATGTAAATGTTACAAATTCGACTATTTTCAACTATTTTCATGAATAATAATAAATAATTTAAATTTATATGTTTGATAATAAATATTTATCTATGATTAAAATTACAACAAAGGTCATTTATTAGTATAACAATCGAGTTGGGTCTAGGTTAACTGCTAACAAAGTCGAAAATAAGTAAATCAGAAAAAAAGTTCAAGCCAAACAAGACAAAGTTTTTAAATAAATAAAAATTAAAAATAAATTGACCAAAAATATTTCAAATTTAATAAAATAAATAAACACAAATAACACAAAAAACAATAAAAACAATAAAAACAACAGCCACAAAACTAGAAACAAATTTGCAAACTGTGCGAAAACAAACAAATCAGGCTAAATTTCAGATAACAAACAACAATAAATTTGACAAAACGTGAACGTGCGACTGCAACAACAACACTGCTTACAACAATTATCGGTACCAGTGGAGCTGGGAGTTTGTGTAGAAGTGCTTTGTCGGACGATAAAATTGGAAGCAGCCACAATGGATTCTAGACCAAACCGAGCCACAGGCAACAGTGCGAACGAAGCGCTTGAAATTAATTTCGAAAATTAAGTCCAAAAGCGAAAAAGGTGTTGAGTTGTGGGTAAACATTAGCCACGGGCCAGTAGCAATTAATTATTTTGGGTTCAATTTTGTATGCAAACAAACCGAAAACTATTGTTGTTGTTGTTACTGCTGTTGTTGATAGATTTGACATATTTCGATTATTATGCAAAGTAACATTTGAATGAAAAGAGCAAAATGACGCCAGCCATTTTCGATATCGAAAATGTACCGGAGAGTTGGAGAGATCAATGACCTTTGCACTTCGTGTGTAGCTTAGAGATTGTAAATGCTAATTTAGATTTACAACTGCAATTTTATTTTATTAAAAAAAAATATATAAATTTTTAATCTATGCAACCATAACTGTCACTTTTTAAATTAAGTCAATGTGGAAACGGTGTTTTCACTGAGTTTTATTTCAGCAACGAACTTAGACTTAGACTTCGACTTCGACTCAGACACAGACACAGACTCCAAGCGAAGTTTTACTACATTGTTCGACATTTACTTCACTAATTTTATGTTTTTGTTTACATTTTATTACCTCTGATTTGTTGCTATTTTATTTTTATGTTTTGAATATATTTTTAGTGTTGATGTCATTTAATAAATTTTGCATAAAATATGCAAAATATGCACAAATTTTAATTTTATTTTGACGGAACGATTTTTTCGATTTTTCTAATTAGGCACAAGTTGTCATAGAAATCGAAATCTGTAGAAACTAAAATTTGACTTAGTTTTCGTTTAGTTTTGTTGCCAACTTAAGCGCACTATTAATGACATTTTTATATATATTATTCAAATTATGCAATAATCATAAAGAATAAATTAATAGTTTATATATATATAAACTGTTTTATTGACAATTCTACGTCAATCGAAAAATAACACGTTGGTTAAATGATATACTACATCTCTAGGCTAGTAGCATTTTTTTTTTTTTGCAGTAGGTGGAAAGCATCGAAAGCCACAGTGTGAGACTCGAAGCCTTCGTGGCTTTTAGTAATGAATGGAGAAGATTTCCACAGCATTGAGGAAACTCCAGTAATCAGGGGAGAGAGATGTGAACATACATTAAGACCGAAAAGTTTTCGGAAATTCTCATTTAAAATTCGCGCGCTGTATATTTTTCGATATTTTAAGTTTATGTAGTTTGGCAGCAATTAAGGACAATTACTATGCCAAAAATGAGCGCGATCTGTCAGACAGTTCGTTTACGGCAGCTGTTGAAACCAATTCACCTCAGTAGTGCGTTGCGAAAAAAACAATGGAAAAAAATATTGAACAAAGAGTTTGCATCAAATTTTGTGTTTCGAACGAAATTTCGTGTGCAGAATCGTTGCGAATGCTACAAAAGGCTTATGGGGAATCAGTTTTATCGAAAAATCAAGTTTATGAGTGGTACAAAGCCTTTCAGGACGGTCGTACGACCG